ATTCAACAAATTTTCATCAAAATTTCAACTTTTTATTCTGAACTTTTGGAAAGTTTTTGGCTACGCAGTTTTATAGCCCATACAATTTTAGTGCAATGAAGTGCAAGTTTCAAACGGGTAAAAAATCGCGTTGATTTTAGAGAATTTTTTTAGGGCTATTTTTTTGGGTTTTTTAATACAACAAGCGCACTTTAGAAAAACTTGCGTTGAAATTTTGTTGCTGACGGTCTTCCGCGTTTTATTTCATAAGAAATTTATACTTATGTATATGAAAAAAAGTGCAAAAATCCGTCACCAAAGAAAAACTCTCAGAAATCAAAGCGATTTTTAGCCGTTTGAAACTTGCACTTCATTGGTATAAAACTGCATACCTAAATTTTTTTTTAAAATTCAGAATAAAAAGTTGAAATTTTGATGAAATAAGCCACTATTATTATTATTATTACAAAACAAATAACACTTAAATTTGTTTTTGTGAAGAAATATATTCTTTTTCGAAGATTCATAATTTCATAGCGCAAACAAAAATATATTTGGTGGATAAAAAATTCAAAAATTGTCTTCCTCAGTTTTCTTTATTACATTAAAATCTAAAATTGAACTATATTTGGAAAAAAAATTAAGCCTTAATAAAAGCGAAAATTCACGCACATATAAGAAATTTTAAGTCATAAAAATTATGTATATGTGACCTGGTCTACGAAAAGGGAGCTTACGTGCGAAAACTAGTTTTCTGTGAAAAACCTGTTAAAAGTAAGCAACTCGTTTCGTCAGTTTCTCATTATCTCGTTAATTTTTCTCCGCGCCGGAACTCCAGTAAGTGTTGTTGTTGGTCCAGTAAGTGTTGTTGTTGGTCCAGTAAGTGTTGTTGTTGGTCGGAATATTATTATAGTTCATCGTGTAAGTTGCTAGTGTGGAACATTTAAAAAAGTAACACTGAAGAAGTGACGTTTACTGTTTCTTTCTCTACACTTCTAAGCAAGTTAGGATTTTCTGCTTTTCACCACGTGAAAAAGCATCTCATCTTCCATCCGAATCAACCAAAAAGTGAAAATTGATTTTTTGACACCTAAGCCCCCTTTCCGTAGACCAGGTCACATATACACATTTGATGTTGCCTTTTTTTGTCTTTTTTAAGATATTTGCCTTTTTTTTGTTTTTTTTTTAAGATATTTGCCTTTTTTTGCCTTTTCTTCCTTTAAAAAGTGATTATAGCATTTACATTTTTTTTTTAAGATTAAAAAATATACACATGCCCATGCGGCTTATAGAAGCGCAGGGACCTCTTGCCAAATTGGTCTTGAAAAAATTCAAAGCCGTTTTCTCAGCTAACGTAGGCTTGAAGACAATAAGCCCTTATTCCTGATAATATGAACGTTTCAAACGTTCCATATTTAAATTGGGCTCCACTTGCATCAACTTACGTCGAGCGCACATTTAGTACATTCAAGGCTTTTCTTCGCGAAAATCGAATGAAAATGCTGCCAGAAAACTTCAAAATGCATCTTTTGGTTCAATGTTACTACAACTATACAGATTAAAGTTTTATGAGTTAGAAACTCGAAAGGATAAAATAGTCAGAGATACAAAGTGCAAATTTTTCATATAATGCAACTAGTTCATAGTTTTTCTCTTTTTACTTGTAATATAAACATTTCAAAAAAAAATATATTTTTTGATTGTTCTTCGTATTTTCTGTCTTTTTTTAGTGCCTTATTTTGCTTTTTTTGCAATACCTTTTTTTTGCCTTTTCCTGCCTTTTTCGCTATTTTATTTTGCCTTTTTTTGCCTTTTTTACAATACCTAGTGCCTTTTCCTGCCTTTTTCGCTATTTTATTTTGCCTTTTCCAGCCTATTTCGTTACTTTATTTTGCCTTTTTTATAGGTTTTTAGGTCCTAAAAATCCGTTCCTTGGTTATAAAATATACAAAGTGAAACTTGATGACAATTAGCAAAAAAAGTTCATAAAATATGGTTTTCATGATTGAAAGTGTTTTACAATCGCATATCATTACCATGGGTCGATTTTTCAATGCCAACGTTCTGGCCACAAACGTGCACTCACTTTTCACGCAAATTTACGCCTTTTGGCAAACCAAACATACGCACAAACTTGTTCCAATCACACAGCACTTTATTTTATATCATAAGTAGATATGTATGTAATATATCAAAATTTATAATTAAAATCGCTGCAGAAAACACATTCAGTCGCTAAAAAATCACTAGGAAGAGGTAGAAGACGGTGTAAA